TAATTCTGGGATTCACATTTAGGTCTTTAATCCATGCTGAGTTGGTTTTTTATAAGGCATGAGGTAAAAGTCTTGTTTCAATCTTTTGCATCTCGATTTCCAGTTCTGCCAGCACCATCTGTTGAAGACACTATGTCTTCCCTACTCAATTTACTTTGGCCCTTTGTCAAGAGCAGTTGGCTATATGTGGATGGTTTAATTTCTGGATTCTTGATTCTGTTCCATTGATCTATGTAGTTTTTATTGTACCAGTGCCAGGCTGTTTTGACCACTGTAGCCATGTAGTAAATTTTGAAATCAGGGAATGAGAGGCTTCCAACTTTGTTCTTCTTTTTAAGCAGTACTTTGCTTATTCTGGGTCTCTTTCCTTTCCATATAAAGTTTGTAATTGTTTTTCCATCTCTCTAAAGAATGTTATTAGAATTTCTATCGGTGGACATATGATTCTTGGTTGGCAATTTTTGTAATTCAGAGTTTTGTATATGTCTCCCCATTGCCATTTTGCCTGCATGGTTTCTGCTGAAAAATCGGACCTTAATCTTAGTGCTTTTCCTTTGTAGATAACATTTCCTTTTTCCCAAGCTGCTTTCAAGATTCTTTCCTTGCCTTTGATTACAGAGAGTTTGATTATGATATATCTTGGTGATTTTCTTTTGGGTATCCTGCTTGGGGTTCATTCCTCTTCTCAAAGTTTATCTTCTTATCTTTCGTAGTAGGGAAATTTTCTTTCAGCAGCTCTTTGACTATCTTTTCTATGCTTTTCTTTGTCTTTTGGTGTTCTCGAATTCCAATTACCCAAAAGTTTTTCCTCTTCATGTTATCTCCCATAAGTCTTAGGCTTTCTTCAGATTTTTTCATTTTTTTTTCTGTTTGTTCCTCTAGATTACTACTATTGAGAAATTTATCTTCAAGCTCACTAACTCAGGCTTCCATTTATTAAAATCTCCTGCTTTGCCCTTTCAATGTATTGTCCATTTTTAATATCTTAGTATTAATCTTCTGGATTTCTGTTTGTAGCTTTTATATTGTCTCCAATTCTTTATCTATTTTGCTTGGTTGTTAATTTAGTATTTTTCTGAATTCTTTCTTATTTTCCTCGGCCTTTCTGTCAATCATTTGGCGGTACCTAGATATTATTCTCCTGAATTTTTTTCAGTTTGTTTCAGTGGCTTTTTTGTCTTCAAAACCATTTCTAGCTCTGCCTCTTGGTCATTTGTTTGAGCCACTGTGTCTTGTTTGTCATTTGAACTGAAATGTCAGTTTTTGAGACATTGTGGTGGTGCTTTTGAGACATTGTGGTGATGTTGTATATGTATTAAGTTGAAAATTGTATATTGGTTTTTCTTAGGCACTCACCAACTGCCTCCTAATGGGTATGATCAGGAGATGAGATGATACACCATTCTCTGTTAGCACAGTTCAGTTCAGGGTGGATTTAGCTGATGTTGGTTGTGGATAGCAACTGGTATTGGCTCTTGCCCAATTGATGGGATTTTAGGGTGTACTGCCATGACTGGGCTGTAGAGTCGCAGTTGCCATCTCCTGTTGGGTGAGGCAAGAAAAGAAAACATGCAAGAGAGAAGGAAACAAACAAACAAACCAGCAAAACAAAGAAAATAGTAAAGAAAAAGAAAACCAGGCAATGACTGTCTCTCTACAATAAGCAATATGCCTGTGCACCACCTAGTGGCCTCTTGCCTTTACAGTCACCTGAGAAAGTTCAAAATGACCTTGCTGCACCTGTCCAGCCTGCACAAATCACCAGTCTCTTTTCTTTTTCCTCTCTTTCTCTCCCCTATGTGTCTGTTCAGCCACTTTTTCTAGTCATACCTAATCCAGGGCTGGCCAGGGTCATCTTTGCAGATTTGGAGCAGGGCCCAGGCAACGGAGGTTATTATGGATAGCTCCTGTCTCCTTCAAGGAGACTCACAAACCTGCAGCTCCAATTGAGGGAGAGTCCCTAGGGGGGTATATGCAGGCAGAGAACAGCCTTGTCTCTGGTGGAAATGTGGGGAATAAGAGAAAAAAAATCACGCCTTTGGCTCTGCAAGTCACAGGTAGGTTTCTGCAACATGAATATGTTTTCTTCTATCTGAAGTCATTCACAAATGCTCAAGATGGCTTTGGTAGGTCTGATTGGCAACCACAGCTCAGGAGTCATTCACACTCCCCCTTGTTTGTATTTTTTGTTTGGGTTTTTTTTGTTTGTTTGTTTTGTTTGTTTTTTTTGCTGCAGCTGCTCAGTTCTTTCTCCTAGTAAATATTCAATCCATTTCTTTATCTCTGCATCTGAAACTCAAAGTTCTAGCATTACCCTCTTCATCTGTTTCATTTCATTTTCCATATCTTTGGTGTAGAGGGTCTGTATAGCCTGACATCTTTCCCCACCCTAACTCAAGATTCCTTATATATTATTTATCTCATGTGATATTTAAGCTAGTAAATAATTTTTAGTTTTGCCTACAATCAAACTATTGTTTCCTCTATTACAGACACAAATGTCTTAGTATTCTGTCAAAAGAGATGAAATATCTGAAAATAATTCCAAACTGAAGCTATTCATTGATAATATAACTGGGGCCACCTGTGGGTAATAAAGAGTGATTTTTTATGCTTGACTTTGAATAATACTGTGTATGTGTACTATTTTTACTAAATGCATAGGGTAACTTCATCATCATGTCATTGTGGCATAGGTCATTATGAAAATTTGTATTTTCATTATTCTAATTTGTTGTTGTTTAATATGATTATCTTTTTAAGGTGTCAGATTAATTGGTTACATGAAGACACGTTTCAAAGTCATCATCAACTGAACACCATTATTTTGACAGGAAATCCTCTGATATTCATGGCAGAAACATCACTTAATGGCCCCAAGTTTTTGAAGCATCTCTTCTTCATCCAAACAGGAATTTCCAATCTTGAGTTTATCCCAGTGCACAATCTGGAAAACTTGGAAAGTTTGTATCTTGGAAGCAATCACTTTACCTCTATTGAACTCCCAACAAGCTTCCCATCACAGAATCTGAAAGTCCTGGATTTTCAGAATAATGCCATACACTACCTCACTAAAAACAACCTGGACTCTCTGAAGAAGGCCACAAATCTAAGCCTTAACCTCATTGGAAATGACATTAAAGGTATTGAACCAGGAGCTTTCCATTTGAAAAGCTTCCAAACTTTGAACTTCGGAGGGACTTTTAATTTGTCTGTTATATTCAAAGGTCTCCAGAACTCAACTATTCAGTCTCTCTGGCTTGGGACCTTTGAAGACCTAGAGGACCAAGACATTACTTCAGCCATGCTTCAGGGACTGTGTAATATGTCTGTTGAGAGTATCAACCTACAGAATCACTATTTCTCTGACATCTCACCTGCCTCCTTTGAGTGCCTCACCCAACTTCAGGAATTGGATCTGACAGCAACTCACTTGCAAGATCTACCTTCTGGGATTGAGGGGATGAATTCACTTAAGAAATTAGTTCTCAATGTAAATAAATTTCACCAGTTGTGTCAAATAAATGCTGCCAATTTCCCCTCTCTTACACACCTCTACATAAAAGGCAACAAGAACAAACTCGACCTTGGTGCTGGCTGTTTAGAAAGACTAGAAAATCTTCAGAACCTTGATTTAAGTCACAGTTACATTGAGGATTCTGACTGCTGCAATCTTCAATTCAGAAACTTATCTCACTTGCGATACCTGAACCTGAGCTACAATAAGCCCCTTGGACTCCAGAGCCAGGCTTTTAGAGAAAGTCCTCGACTTGAACTCCTGGATCTGGCGGTTACCCATTTGCGTGTTAGCGTTCCACAAAGTCCCTTCCAGAATCTCCATTTCCTGCAGATTCTCAATCTGTCTTATTGTCTCCTTGACACTAGCAATCCGCATCTTCTAGCAGGTCTGCCTGATCTCCGGCTTCTGAATTTACAGGGAAATCACTTTAAAGATGGGAATATCCCAAAGACCAACCTACTTCAGACAGTAGGCAGCTTGGAGATTTTAATTTTAGCATACTGTAACCTCCTCTCCATAGACCAGCAAGCTTTCCAGGGCCTTGAAAAACTGCTTCATGTAGATTTAAGCTACAACAACCTAACCGGGAACAGCATTAGTGCTCTTCACCATTTTAAGGGGACTTACCTCAATCTGGCTGCCAATAGCATTAGCATCATGCCACTCCATGTTTTACCCACCTTGTCCCAGCAGAGCATCATTAATTTAAATTACAACCCTCTGGACTGCACTTGTTCTAACATTCATTTCTTAAAGTGGTTCAAAGAAAACTTGCAAAAATTCGAGGACTTGGAGGAGATGGTGTGTGCAACTCCCCCGACTTTAAAGGGAGTTAAGTTGTGTGATGTCAAACTGTCCTGCAGAATTACAGCTGTGGGCATTTTCTTTATTGTTGTATTTTTATTCTTGTTTAGCATTCTGTTCATTCTTTCAGTTAAATTCTTTCTTAGATGGAAATACCAACACATTTAGTGCTAAAAGTTTCCAGAAAAGGCAAATAAAGGCATTTCACAAAATGGTTCTACGTGAAGAACTCGTGTCTGTTTTCAATCAGATTTTTCAGACTGGTCCATACGGTTGGGCAAGGATTCACTGGGCTTTTCTGAGCATTTTACTCATATAAGCATCTTCTAATAAGCCTCAATTGCAGGCAAACTGACTGGGGTCAAACCAGGCTGTGTGAGAGAGAGTTCATTTCCTTCCATAAAAGGTGATGGAAATTGAGGGAGGATTTGTGGTCCTGAAAGGCAAGAAGGGTAACACGTCAGGAGGCCCTCTTGCTTCCACTCAGAGAAATGCCTGCCGGCACCCCTCACCCTGTTCCTGAAAGGAGATCATCAACCCCACAAGTTGGCAGTATTGAAGCTATCCCACTCACTGTCTCTGACCCACTATAGAGGCATTGTGCAGGGTTCTGGGTTCTCAGTAATGGAACCACAGGGGAACTTAGTTGGAGACAATGTGTCAATGTTTATTTTCAATGAAAAAAGAAACACACAATGAATTTAAAAGAAAAGGCTGGGAAATTAATCCTACCATCAAACAGAATCCATGAACCTTTTTAATCCTTTGTTGTTTGTCATGAAGTCGAATCTGACTCATGGTGCCCCATGTCTCTACAATGTCCCTGGGGCACAAATAGTTGCAATAAAATAAAATCAAGACACCCCTCCTGTGCAGAGGTTTTTGATTTCTGCCACATTTGCTACACTTATTTCAGAGCCAGGGAAACTCCCATCTGTTGGGTGTTCTTCCTCTTATGTTACAGGTCCTACCTTCCAGGTGGGCTGTGGTTCAAGATGCTTATCTCATGTGGACCCGGGAAGCCTCTTTTCCCTGGGCCTAGGGTCAATGAGATAAGTGGGGCTTGCTTTCCAAGCTGTCCTCAAAAGCCTATTTACCTCAGAGAACATTTGAGACACACATTTACAATAAAAATGGCTAGAAGAATACATCCCTGCACACTAGCTGTTAGCAATGCAAGAATGCTGGCTTAGAGAGAAACCATTTATGTTCAGAGTGGGGTGTCAGTAAAGGTTGTACCAGCAAGAGGGGACAGGACAATTGAATGCAGATAAATAAAGAGGACAGAGAAGGGACAATGCTATGGCTGATTTTCCCAAGATCTGAAGGGTCACACTCATGGAAGAACCCAGCTTCTGAAGTTTGAACTGCTGGACAAGGGAAATTAGACCTCTTGTAGTTGGATGTTGTTGCACTTATAAACCTTGAGTAAGTCTAGAACCAATTTTAGGCTGTTGATGTTAATTCTGTTAAGTCAATTCTAGCTCACAGCAATCTCATGGTGATTTATATTTAGAAATTCTGGTTGAATACCTGAGTAAAATGTGATCAACTTTATTATTCAATCTGAAGTAAATCCTAGGTTGAGGGGCAATGTTGGGAATAACAGAGTGGAAATCTGTTGATGACCAACTCCTATTTAGCTCTTTATCAGAGGAAAGGCAGGAAAGACAAGGAAACAAGCAATGAAGTCAAGGAATCAACCTTCCCTGGAAATATTCTAAGGAACCCTGGAGGTACAGCAGATTAGGATTAAGCATTGGGGTGCTAACCACAAGATTGGTGGTTCAAACAATCTCAGAAAGTATAAAGAGCAGTTCTAATCTGCTTTATAGTGTCTCTCTGAATCAGAATCAATTCAATAGTAATGGGCTTGGTTTTTCAATTTGGTAAATGCTCTACTAGTTTTACCTTCAGTTCCAAGGCATGTACACAAATGAATGGGTACCATATCCCTTCGTGTCCTGGGGGGCCTGTGTCTGGTGAGACAGGAGAGTTGAGCCCTATTCTGCTAATGAAATGAAAGCTAAGCAATTAACATGGAGCAGGTGTGCTACTTATTTTAGCTGCTAGCATGTGAGGATACAAGTGTGTGATAAGGGAGATGCTTTCCTGAGGTGATGGAGAGGGCGTTAATGTGGTAGGCTGTTCAGGACACATTTGAAGGGGATTTTTGGCTGGAAATAGGAAGCAAGCGGGACATATCTCTTTGGCCACCTTTACTACTTTTCTGGGCCTAGGATGGTAGAGCAGTCATCTTAAAGGAAGCAACATGCGTAGCTGCGCCTGGAATCTGCAGTACTTAAGGCCTTTCCTCATTGGGTTTTGGGTCAAAAGTGGACCTAATGTGCATAAATGGTCATAGCTAACTCAGTCAGTGTTTGATAATCTGTAAAGCAGAGAGTGCTTCCTAATTGCTGCTACAGAAAAGGTTCCTTGGTCTGGGGACCCAAAAGTAGCTGGAGTTGAATGAGCTCAGGTAGCTAATACTCCCAAGTTAGAAAGTGCGTGTTCCACGGACCCTACCAACCCACACTGCCAGGAATTACTCAGCTACGAGAATTTAGGCAGGATAGCAGAAAAGAATGTTGGTGTGACACTGTAGGAAAAGAACTGGATTACTTACTAGCCACAAAGTCGGCAATTCAAACCCACCAGTTGTTCTTGGGTCGCTATGGGTTGGAACTGACTTGATGCCACTTAACAACAACAATCTAGACTTCTAACTGCAAGGTCGGTGGTTCGAACCCACCAGTCACATCTCAGAAAGCCTATACAGGGTCACTATGATTTCGAACTGACTCGATGGCACACAACAATCCTAGAACATGACTGGGACATAGTAGGTATTCAGCATATTGTGGTTTAATGATTTCTCCCATTTGTCCTAGTTCTCTGAGCCTTTTAAATAACAACAACAACAACATAAAAACATTGCCATCAAGTTGATTTTTGACTCATAGCAACCCTGTCCTAAAAGGATTCCAAGGCCTCCTGGTGTGGTACTGTAGGATCAGCACTGGACTGGGAACCACAAAGTTGACAGTTCAAACCCACCAGCTGAGCCTCGGAAACCATATAGAGGGTCTCTATGAGTCAAAACTGACTCTATGACACTAACAAGAAGTAGAATTTCAAAGCTGTAATTTTTACAGAAGTAGACCATCAGATCTTTCTTCCACAAAGCAGCTGACTGGTTCAAACTACTGACCTTTTGGTTAGTAGTAGCCAGGCTCTTAACCACTGGCCACAGGACTTTTCCCAGAGCCCTTTGTGTTGTTGTTAAGTGCCATTGTGTGAGTTCTGACTCACAGCGATCCCATATAGGGTTTTCTTGGAGGCAACTGGTGGCTTTGAACTGCTGACTTTGTAGTTAACAGTCTGCTGCTGATCCTACAGTGCCATACTAGGACTCCCCCAGAGCTCTTGTTACTGTTTTTGTTAAGTGCTGTCGAGTCAATGACTCTGTATAGGGTTTCCAAGGAGCTACTGGTGAGTTTGAATGCCAACCTTGAGGTTCAAAGCGACCTTGCAGTCCAGCACATTAGCCCACAGCGCCACACCAGGACTCCATTGTTGTTGTTGTTATGTACTGTGGAGTTGGTTCCGACTCATAGCGACCCTACCCAGAGTTTCCGAGGCTGTAAATCTTTATGGGAGCAGAAAGCCTCATCTTTCTCCAGCGGAACCGCTGGTAGTTTTGAACTGCTGACCTCGAGGCTCGTAGACCGATTCGTAACCACTATGCTACCAGAGCTCCTTTACTAGTTTTTAATTCTGTCCACAGACCCATCTTCACCACCCTCATCTTCCGTATCCACCTTCACTCTTTCCTGGGTCACACTTCTAGGTGTTGAGATTCTGTTGGGCTGGGTTTTGTTCTGGCTTCTCAGCCAACTGATTCCATGTGAAATTCTTTCCTATTCTTTTTTTTTTAATGGTAGAATTCACATATGTAATAATAATTTTCTTTTAGAAGCATCAACATGAGACTGGCCCCTATTGTTGTTGTTGTTAAGTGCCGCTGAGTCAGTTCCGACCCATAGTGACCCTGTATAGGGTTTCTGAGGAGCAGCTGGTGAACTTGAACTCCCGAACTTGCAGTTCAAATGGCTTTGCAGCCTGGACTCCAAGACATCCTAAATGTCTGACTTTTCTAAAGTGCTATTATTGTTGTTGTTTAGCGCTGTCAACTCAGGTCTGACTCATAGCAACCTTGTATAGAATTCCAAGGAATAGCTCTTGGGTTTGAACCACCAACCATGTGGTTAGCAGTCCACTGCTTATCCTACTGAGCCCCACCAAGACTCCTATACCACTGTTATAGTGCTGTTGCTGCTGTTAAGTGCCACTGAACTGGTTCCAACTCATAACAACTCAACCCTGTATAAGGGTTTTGAGGAGTAACTGGTAAGCTTGACACACACACCCCCCACCTTGCAGTTTAAATTGACCTTGTAGTCCAGCGCATTAACCCACAGCACCACACCAGGACTACCATTCCATGATCCCTGATATCAACCACTATCCCTCCCCTCAGTATTCTCCCCCACATCCCAGAGTCCCACAATTCTTTTCAACATCTCATAGAGCTCACGGGCCATCAACGTAATGGCTTACACAGTTGTGGAGGCTGGAAAGTCTCAAATCTGTAGTTTAGACGTCAGACTGGAGGATTCTCTTCACTCACACAGAATCAAACTATTGATTTCACAAAGCTGTTGTTGTTGCTGTTAAGTGCCGTCAAGTCGGTTCCTTCTCAAAGCAACCCTATATAGGGTTTCCAAGGAGCAGCTAGTAAGTTTGAACTGTAGACCTTGTCATTTCAAAATCCCGTGCTGATCCGACAGTGCCACACTAGGAAGACTGCGGAAGCTGCTGGCTCAAGTCCCAAGAACCAGAGGTCAGACAGAGGTGGGCAGCAAAGGAGCACAAAGTCCACTCACATCACCAAAAGGGCTCATTTTTTACCAGCAGGATGGCAAAGTTGACCAAGTCACTCATTATATTTCCAAGTTTTTGCAATCACAATTAGTCTTGTTAGTAATCGCTCACAAGGGAATGACATAATCCATCAGCATCTTCTCCTACCTTTTCTTTCTCAGGCCCATCAGGAAAAAGCCAGATTTTGATGGGAGATACAAAGATATGGCTAGAAGAAACATATT